ACAAATTTAAGCTTCAGTATACACACACACACACACACACACACACACACACACACACACACACACACACACACACACAAATAGAAAGATCTTAAGCCAGGCTCTATTGATTCATGCCTGTATCCTAGATAGAGCCTCTCAGGAGGCTGAGATCTGACTATGGCAATTCCAAGCCAGCCCAGGTAGGAAAGTCCATGAGACTTATCTCCAAAAAACTACTCAGAATCTAAGCGCCACTAGCTCACACCTAGCTATTCAGGAGGCTGAGATCTGAGGATCACGGTTCAAACCAACCAGGGCGGAAAGTTCGTGAAACTATTATCTCCAATAAATGGTGCAGAAACCCAGAAGTTGCTCTGTGGCTCAATTGGTAGAGCGCTAGCTGTGAGCTGAAGAGCTGAAGAGCTGAAGGACAGCGCCCAGGCTCAGAGTTCAGGCCCCACAACTGACAAAAAAAAAAAAAAAAGCTGGAAGTGGCACTGTGGCTCAAGTGGTAGAGCACTAGCCTTGAGCACAAAGAGGGACAGTACCCAGGCCCTAGCCTCAGAACTGGCAAAATAAGAAAAAAAGAAAGAAGGAAGGAAGGAAGGAAAAGAAAAAAGGAAGGAAGGAGAAAGAAAAAAGAAAGAAAGAAAAGAAAGGAAGGAAGGAAGAAAAGGAAAAAAAGGAAGGAAGAAGGAAGGAAGGAAGGAAGGAAGGAAGGAAGGAAGAAAGGAAGGGACCTGAGAATCCTATCAACTTTGAGCATCCCTGATAGACAAATGGTAAAAGTCTGAATGTGGCCCTCACCATCAGCATGGTGCCACTTGGGATCTTGCTAGAAGTGTAAATTCACAGGTTCTCTTCCACACTGAGGGAGTCTTTCACATACCTCTGAACTTCTATAAGCAGTGGGTCTATGAGCTGGATTCAGAGAAGACAGAGTTAAAAATCACACTGGCTTGGAGATGGGGCCCAGTGCTTTGAGTCTGAACAAACCTCCAGGTGATTCTGGTCTGTGTTTAAACCTGAGACCCACAAGATGTTCCAGCTTCCAGATTTTGCCACTGCTTTCTTCACTCCCAAGCGACAATTGTCTGTATATTAGATGACTTCTAAATGTGCCTGGCTTCAAATTCCCTCAGGCTGGGCTGGGAATGTGGCGTAGTGGTAGAATGCTTGACTAGCATGCATGAAGCCCTGGGTTTGAAGCAGGTGTAGAGTACCCCTGCTCCTAATGGGTCAAATGGCTCCAAACCAAGCTATGTGCTATCTTTATTTATTTATTTATTTTTTGGGTCCGGTTGTGGGGCCTGAACTCTGGGCCTGGGCGCTGTCCCTCAGCTCTTCAGCTCAAGGCTAGCGCTCTACCACTTGAGCCACAGTGCCACTTCCGGCTTTTTTCTTTTTGCTTATGTGGTGCTGAGGAATCGAACCCAGGGCCTTGAGCATGCAAGGCAAGCGCTCTACCACTGAGCCATCTTCCCAGCCGCTATGTGCTATCTTTAATGTCCAGCAGCTGCAGAATACCTTTGCCCCTAATGAATCAGGAATGAGACCTCATGAAATCGCTTAAATCAGCTGGCTTGCTTGCAAAACCGTAACCTTTGTGTGGCTTTTGCTTTTATAATCCCTGCCCCAGTAGAGGTCCGGGCTGCTCTTAGTTCTGAGACACTGTATTCCAGGCCTGGGCCATCGCTGGCTAGCTAGTAAAAACTCCTTTGTCAGCTTTGACTGTGCTTCCGTGGATTTCTCTACTCTGACATTATTTCAGGGCTAGGTTGACTATTTTGTAGTCTTGTTCTCTGTATCCCAAATGGTATCTAATCTGTTTTATTAGTTATCTTGCATCTTGAGATGACCATTGTGTGGGTCAGTATATATACTTTTTTGCCTGGGCATTCTGCATACCCTACCTATGCAAAACCACAGTTGGGCCTGTAAAAGATACAGAGATTACTGACAAAGTATATACACTTTTCAGAAAACGTCTCTGATATCACCCAACTTCAGCAGAAAGCAATGATGATTGCAAAACTCTATGTCTTCATAGAAACAGGAGGGGAAAAATGCCAACAGGAAAATTTTAAGAGACAACCTAAATATGCTCTTGGTTGTAGTTTTAGTGAAGCGAGCTTGCTTTACTAACCAGGCTGCTTTGTGTGATGACTCCAATATTCTTTGTTTCTTTCTTTCTTTGTCTTTCCCATTCCTTCCTTGTGGGGGGAATTCAAAATTAGAATTCAAGATTAACATTTGGCTCCCTATCTTGCTGACATAGGAAAGCAAGAAAGTAACATCAGCGAGACATACATCTTTGAAAATTGGCACCAGTAATCGGGAGATAAGTGATCCCCTCAGATCACCGTCCAGCACTGAGTCATGGCTTCTAATCATGGCTTCTGAATATACAGAACTCACTTCTTGGACTTTTACTTAAAAATCCTCAATCCATGGAGGACAGCGGAGGGAGACAGCTTTTGGTGTTAGTGTGATGTTTTCTTCCTTTGCCTGTCAGATCAATAAAACTTATTTTCCTTTTTTCTAAAAGCCTGCTGTCATTATTTGGAATTAGCACAGAGTTCAGGGACTAAACATTCTGTGAGAAACTTCTTGCCCTTAGGCAACTAGCTTTGGAATCTGGCACAAAGTAGTCATAACTGTTAAAATTTCCAAACAGCCAGGTGCCCAAAGCTCACGGCTATCATCCTAGCTACTCATGAATCTGAGGATCACAGTTCAAAGCCATCCTGAGCAGGAAAATCTATGAGTTTCTTATCTCCAACTAACCACCAGAAACCCATAAGTGGCACTGTGACTCAAGAGGTAGCACTCAAGCCTTGAGCTGAAGAGCACAGGGACAGTGCCCAGGCCCAGAGGTCAAGACCCATGGCTGACAAAAAAAAAAATGGTGGAGTGAGGGGGGTGTCTGGGAAGGTGGCCCAGTGGTAGAGTGCTTGCTTTGCATGCATGAGGGCCTGGATTCCATTCTTCAGCACCACAAAAGCAGAAAAAGCAAGACGTGGTGCTGTGGTTCAAGTAGTAGAGCACTAGCCTTGAGCTGAAGAGCTGAGAGATAGCACCCAGGCCCAGAGTTCAGCCCCCATGACTGACCAAAAAAAAAAAAATTCCCAACAAGCCAAGCACTGGTGACTCACACCTGTAATCCTAGCTATTCAGGAGGCTGAGATCTGAGGATATGGTTCGTAGCCATCCCAGGAGGGAAAGTCTGTGAGACTCTTATCTCAAATTAACCACCAGAAAACTGGAAGTAGAGCTGTGGCTCAAAGTAATAGAGCACTAGCCTTGACTAAGAAGGCTGAATTCAAGGCCCATGATAGGGTGAGGGTGGTGGTGGTGGTGGTGGTGGTGGCACAAAACAATGAAAACAAAAACATGAAAACATTTTTCTGTAA